GATTCATTGTTTGGAAGGGGGAGAAAGCAGCTCAGTCTGCTCTGGCTACAGTCTCTCTTCTCACCACAGGGGAATGCCAGGTCAACTTGAGGTAAAAAGCTCAACTTCTTTGTAAGCAAATCGAGATCTTCTGCAACGCCCTCTTTCATGGTACATGTTGTCAGAAGCCACTTTGTCTCTTTTTGGTCTTTTGAACTCACAGTTATAACTTTGAACCTTGTTAGACCCTCAGTGACTGACTCCTCTTCTGGCTCCAAAACACCATCTGTGGGGACTGAGGATTTCACTTCAAGTCTGGTGTTAACAGCTCCATCTTCACTAATATGTAACAAGGACACGGAGGTGACATTTTTCAAGAAGAGGAGGCTCAAATCTGCATCTGCAATGAAGCTATCAAAAAGCTCAACCACTTTATCTGAGTCATACAGATTATCAGAAATTTCTGATGCTTCATTGCGTAAAGGAAATCTAAAAATTGTCCCATTGAAGTGCTGATCCTCCATGACAACTGTTGACCATTCTTGTCCGCATAAAAGCAAAATTATATCTCTAAATGGTTGAAACTGATCACTCATATTCAGCAGAACTTCTTGGTCTTCAGCATCATCCAAAGACCACCGAAACCCTCCATTTCTCTCTCCAAATACTTTTTCTTGGGGATCCATCATGCCAAGGTGGCCTGAACTGAATATACTTGGCACATCTGTGGACAAAGTAAAAATATGTTACTGCTAACTGTTTATCTTTTCAAAAATTACTACTCATATCTGTGATCTAACTACACATAGTTTCACCTGTTATGTGGTAAACAGAGTTGAAGCCGATTCCAAATCTTCCCACTCTGTTTGGGTCATCACGCTTGACACTCCTTCCAGTTCTCTGAATCCCTTTCCAGTCTTCATCAGTGAATCCGGCATTGTTGTAGGCATAGAGAGCAGGACCTTCGTAAAAACATAACAAACTTAAAGCTTATGCTTTCAGTATCTATGTGTTAGTGACACATTCTCTGGAATCTCTATCGCAATGTGCAATGAATGAGATTTTTCCAGTTTTTCCAGGGTCTTGGATAGGTTGAATTAACAATGATGGTGACAGCCAAAATTCAACACCTTAGGATTCACAACTGTAGTCCCACCATGTGACATCACATATTTTATGTCGTCTACAATCAGAATCCAGTTTTACAGGGCTTACTAAAAACAGCCACCTTGGAAATGTTTGATAATGTGGAAAAATATGGGGAAAAAATATCCACACACTATACTTTGGGAGAAATTACACATTGAAACAAGCAGAACCTGCTACTTTTAGCTGCTCCTTTAGTCACAAGGGATTGCCACAGTGAGTAGCTCCACTTTTCGACGTGACCCCCAAAGGAAGCAGAATGTTAAATAAAAACAAACTAAAAAGTCCCCAGCAAACCCGGACAGACATTCTTAACTGGAGATGTATTGGCTCTATTGATTGCTTTTAATGTAAATAAATAATAGTTTTTGTGAAATATATTTCTGTTATTCAGTGAATACCTTGGTATGTCTCCAGTTCTTCAGTCCAAAGGCTTTCAGTCCCATAGCTTCGCTCATCATGGATGAAAACCACTTCTGTGGCTCGAGCATCATCTGCATTTTGAATCAGCTCCTGTTGACAAATAAAAACAACCTTGAACAGAAAATGGCAGTAAAACGCTGCCACTGACACAGTTCTGCACAGAAAGCTGGTAGATCTTTCTCACAGCAAGTATGTCTACAGAGGAAAAACAAAAAAAGGGTCCATTTCAGTCTAACTCAGGCTCACTGGACACTGTAGTCCAAAGTGTCCAGTCAGAGTATATGATGTAGTCATTCTTGTTCTTTAGCATACAATGGCAAAAAAATTTCAAGCTTCAAAAATGGTCAATAATTGTGTTAATTTAATTCTGTGGTAAAACTGATAAATTGTACTGCATTATATTTTTAATATTTTGTCTGGCTTAGTGGTATAAACAGAGCACCTGATAAAATGCCAGCTCAGCATGGTTGGTTGCAAAACAGCAAAAATGTGCAGGTCCTTATAATTTGCAAGCAGCACAAAATCTGGGAGATTTCTGTGAATTACAACCATATTTTAGTTACACCTCCACCAACATCCATGTTTCCATTTTGCCAATTAAATAGAGCTTTTTCTAATCTGAGCTGATGGTCTAAGAACAGTCAGTACATATTATGAAGCTCATTGTTTTATATTTTGGATTTGTCACAATGTTATGTAGAAATAAATGTTGTTCTTGTTCTTCTGTGTTCACACAATTAATGTGTAGGTTCACTTTCAAATGTTTTTAATGGGTGAAAGGTCCATACTGCAGGCAGGCGAGTTCAGCAGCTGGACTCTTCTACTATGAAAACATGCTGTTGTACTAGATGCAGTACGGAGTTTAGGATTAACTTTCTAAAATATTCAAGGCCTGCCCTGCAAAAGAAATGACCTCATTGAGAATGTTTTGCTCTAAAACCTGTGTATACCTTTCAGCATTGATGGTGCCTTTACAGATATGCAAGCTGCGAATTTCATAGGCACTAATGCACCCCCATACCATCAGACCTGCATAGTGATGATAATATGCCATATGGGCCCTCTTCTATTCACTCTGGCAAATGATCCATCCATCCATCCATCCATCCTCCCGGTGGGACATGCCCAGGACACCTCACCCATGAGGCGCCCAGGAGGCATCCTTGTCAAATGTCTGAACCACCTCAACTGGCACCTTTCAACGTGGAGGAGCAGCAGCTCTACTCTGAGCCCCTCCTGGATGGCTGAACCTCTCACCCTATCTCTTAGGAAGAGGCCAGCCATACTTCGGAGGAAGCTCATTTCAGCCGCTTGTATCCGCGATCTTGGATCACTACCCACAGTTCATGACCATAGGTGAGGATAGAGACGTAGATCAACCGGTAAATTGAGAGCTTTGCTTTTACACTCAGCTCTCTCTTCACCATGACGGACTGGTACAGCATCCGCATCACTGCATCCGCAGCACCAATCTGTCTGTCGATCTCCAGCTCCCTTCTCCCGTCACTCATGAACAAGATCCTGAGATACTTAAACTCCTCCACTTGGGGCAGGAACTTGTCCCTGTCCTGACCTGGGAGCGGGCACTCTACCCTGTTCTGGCTGAGAACCATGACCTCAGATTTGGAGGTGCTGATTCTCATTCCCACTGCTTCACACTTAGCTGCGAGCTGGACGCCATCACTCGAAGAAGCCAGCTGAACCACATCATCTGCAAAAAGCAGAGATGAGATTCTGAGACCACCTCTGTCACCTTCTGAGACAAAGCCTTCCGCCACTTGGCTGGGTCTAGAACTTCGGTCCATAAAAATTATGAACAGAATCGGTGACAAAGGGCAGCCCTGGCAGCCCATCACCCTCCGGGAGCAACTCCGGCTTATTGCCGGCTATGCGGAACAAGCTCTTGCAATAGTTGTATACCCGTCTATGTTTGTAAAAAATAAATACAATTTTGAGTTTTTTGTCTAGACTACAGAATAGGTTTTCACTTTTCTTCAGTCCGTTTTAAACAAGCTTTAGCTCTGAGAAGATTGTGGCCTTTCTGAATCGTATTGACATATGGCTTTTTCTTTGCAAGCTACAGCTTTAACCCACATTTGTGGATGGCACTGTGACCTGTGTTCACAAACAGTGATTTGTGGAAGTGTTCTGGAGCTAATGCAGTGGTTTGCATGAGAGAATCATGCCTGTTTTGCAGAACTGCCTGAGGCCTTGAAAATCCTGTGTGGCTGTGGTACTGACTTTTGGCCTTATCTCTTGCACACAGAGATTTCTCCAGATTCTCTGAATCTATATACAGTAAATGATGAATTAATCAAAATCTGCACAATTTTGCATTGAGGAATATTATTCTGACACTATGTCTACAACTTGTAGACATATTTTTTTCTTTACAGATTGGTGAACCTCTGCCCCTTAACTTTGGAGAAACTCAGAGTCTCTGTCCAATCATGTTACTGACTTTTTACCAGTTAACCTCATTAAATGTTGCCCCGTCCCAACTTATTCAACCATGTTGATTTCACCAAATCCAAAATGAGACAATTTTTCTTCATGAAATAATAAAATGTCTCAGTTTAAATTTTTACTTTGTTTTCAGTTGTTCCATTGTGAATCATTTTTATGTTTGTGCGAACTGCAAAATGTAGTAAATCTCATAAACCTGTCGCATTCTATTGTCATTTACATTTTATTATTGTTATTATTATTTGCACAGCATCCCAATATTACCTAAAGTAACTGTTGTGTGTTTTTGTTACATCATTACACCAACCTTCAAAATTTGTCCACCATCTGGATATCGCCGTAGAATATCTTTCAGATAGTCAATGATGGGTGGTGCTGTGGCCCCGAAGGAAGTCCTAAACAAAGTAAAAGCATTAAACACAAAGAAACTAGAGTCTGAAGGCAAATTAAAACCATGTTGGTCCTGCTGATGCAATGTTAGTAAGGATAAGGTTGAGAGCTATGTTAGCAAAGCACATGCACGTATTTGACTATTTGACTGATATTGTTAGAGATGAGGTTCTTTACTTTAAATTAAATAGAATAATCTTTATGAAATTAGACAAAAATTAAATTTAATTAAAAAGAGACACTAAAGTCGAGTATAAAAATAATTTTGGCCATCTGGTTTCAAAATGTTTCTTTCATGTATAGATTCCACACATTTGCTTTAATGCTGAAAACATATTTATTCCCTAATTTATTTTGACCACAGGAAACTAACTAGTAGTTAGTAATGATATCAATAAAGAATCTGATCTTTAAGCAGAATCAAAAATGGCATTAGTGCCCAAATCCTATTAATATAATGTCTACTCAAGATGTAGGAGAACAGTTACTGTTACTGCCTCCTACTGTATACAGTATATTAAAAAGAAAGCAATTCACCGGACTTTCTTCTTTGCCTTTGGATTCACCATGCCAGAACGGGTTCCTGTAAGAAATTCAGAAAATTGTGACATGTGTTACAGCAGTGCAAACTTACTGTCGCACTTTTAGTTTTAAGGTTTTATATATCTGGATGTAATAAAATAAAAAAACACATGAACTATGGGGCTTAATGGGTTTTAAAAATAGGTCAATAAAACCTCAGATGAACATCTAAACGTGACATATTACACTGTGTCATTATTTATTTAACAAAAATGAAATCAAAATACAGAAGCAGTGCAAAAAACCTCAAATAAACACACACTGCTTCTGCAGTACTTACTGTAGTAGGTAGCACCCATGAGCTGGAAGGTGATTAATGACATTAATAGCAAAACATTCAGGACAGCTGCTAGTCTTCCCCACCAAAGTGGAGAAGTTTGGCCACAAGGCACAGAGCTACAAACGCAGCATTGTTGTAGAATGTGGATTGATTTCTGTTTCAAGTATTGCATGCTTTTGTTTACTTATTCTTTTTAATGCGTGATGTAAACCACACCCATGTGGGAAAGGAGACTGTACTCCTCTGGATCGGATGACTGAGATAATTGTGTGATGATAGCAAAGGTTTAACATTAGCAATATTTAGAAACACATGCAAACCTTTTGCTTAGTTTACAAATTAGGTTTATAGTGCTCTCTTTAAACCAAAGAAAATATAAATGTGAAACAAATCTTTGAACTATGAGTCATTCAAGGTTTTATTTCTTGTTTTGTTCTGATCATTTTGCTGAGTAACAGTGTATTGCACAAGGAAACGATCAATAATTCAAGTGTTTAAGTAACTTAGCCTGAATCTAGATGATCTTATGATTTAGTTACTTCACCCACCTCTCAAACAGACTAAACAGCTACAGTACGAGGGCTGTGGTTGATGATGCACACTGAAATTGTCCTTGTGAGCTCTCTTTGTTCACTTTGTTGCTTCCAAAGCATTTGTACTTTGGATTTAAACAACAACAAAGCAGCAAATATAATTAAACACAGGTCTAAATGAGATCATCTGTATATAATTTGACAAAAGTGTAAAAAATATATTTTTTAAAAAGTTAGTAAATTAACATATAAAGATTTTCTCTATTCTGTGATCACAGTGTTTAAAATAGCAAAATCATTTTTGTGTGTATTTCTGTTTTTAAGATTTTCGTTATTACTTAGCTAGTAACCTACCTATATACGCCAAGAAAACAAATAAATACAATCACAGTACCTCAGTCATAGCAGTGCAGGGTCCTATCAGTGCCAGGGAAAGTAGTGATGCTGCATCAGGCTGCTGTATATAAAGGCTGCTGATGTCCAATCACAGCAACGAACGCCTGTCTTCTTTTTCTCCTCCGAGTTCCGTCATCTCGTTAGAAACGAAACTGACTGAAACAGAAGCAGCAGATTTTCCTCTGAGACTGAATTTCCTCTGATGTCCTGGAAGAAACGAAACTTTAGGAGGAAAGTTGTCCCGCATCCCGCATCATCCAGCTGCCTCCTAGCTAGATGATGATGATGCTGCAGGAAAACAGAGGAAATGCGACTTACAGCTACTTTCACTCTGTTCATCCTTCCTAAGAAATGTACTTGAAGACAGATATTTATCTGACAAACGCAGTAAAATCCCCACATGAACAATCTTTGCATCCTTATATATACAAGACAATAATTGGTAGGCTTCTAAGTAAGCTAGTACACCTGCTTGCTACGTTTGCATGTCTCTTATGGTGGCCTGTTTGACCCATAAAGGGCGTAATTGGATGAGTCAGTGCAATCATAATTGATATAAAATAGCCAAAAACTATTGATGAAAAAGGAAACATGACTTATTGTTTATTTAAAACAGTAATAAACTTGTAGGTTAGTAAGCAGAGGAGGCATGGTTATAAAACAGTGCATGTCTCCTCAAAATTTTGCATAACTGTGTAAAAAATAAAGATTATGTCATGTTTCTCATCTGTAGGACAGTGAAAACCCCTCCCCTGCTGCTGTGGGTTCAGATTGCACCATGCTGGATAACACAGTGATCAAGTAGAGCAGCGGTCTGCTCAGACTGTTGGTGTAGTTTTAGTCTTTCCTGACTCTGACCTTGATTCTGATGACATTCCAGTTGCTCCTAAACAGCAGAATAAAACAGACAGTTCTTCCAAATGTCCATCCAGGTCCAGGCCTTTAAAGAGTTATTTAAATTTATATTTAATTTATTTATTTTTGAAACTCATGTCTGTACTTTAATGAGTTGAGCCACTGTAAGAAAAATTAATATGAGAATGTCCTTTCAGCTCCATGTACAACTTGATGACAGACCCTGGTGCTGATATTTTTGAACATTTACTGCCACGTCATACTAGGTCAAGTACACTTGATCTCATATCCCTATTATTTCTGTAAGTGCAGAAATAATATCATCATTCCAGCTTTTGAGCAGCACCATGGACAGGAGTTGGACTCAAAGGTCAACAATTATTTGAGCTGTATGTCTATATTCCAACTGTAATGTCTATAAACATGGAACAACAGGGAGGAGCTAACCACAGGTCCTCATAGATTGACTGGATGGGTTCACCATATCAAACAAGAGCAATCACTTATACAATTTCTAATTCAACAATAATTTCCAGTGGACCAGCTTCTGGATCTCACACATATTACAGTGTATGTTTGTGGGATCCACATATTTGTTTTTAACATGTAAATGGTAGTAAAGTGGCAATCCAGGCAGGAAAGTCAGTACCCTCCCCCCAATCCACCACCACCACCACAAAAAATAAAATAAAATAAATTAAAAATAAAAAATTCAGTTCATATGGAAAATGTATTGTTGGAAAGATCAACTTTCTGAGAATGCTCCAGGCAAGAAAATGTTTACTACTTGCTGAACATTTATAACTTGTCCAAGTTATAAATGGAATTCCCCCAAAGTCTTGCAAACGGGAAAGAAATGTTGATTTAAAACACTCAAATTAATTTTTCTTTTCAATATAATCTTTTTTTTAATTTTTGTTTTTTACTTTTTTTCTATATTCAGTTGCAAATTTTCCCTGTCTACATGCCTGGTGGTAGCAGGTGAAAGGCTCCACGTAGCCATTACTCAGCACCACCTTCAGCTGCAGAGTGAATGTTTTAGTCTTTATCCAGGTAAGTTGTTGGTTAAGAAAAATTAGAAAAGATTGGACTGGGAAAAGTCAAAATTGACTGACAATCAAAAGTTCACAGTCAATTTTGGTCTTGAATCTGTGCAATTATTCAGAGAAGCTGTATTTTAAAAATTATTGTAAGATATAGTCTTGATATTACTTCATTTGTAAGAGAAAATGATGACATGGGCAACATTGTGTATTATGAGAAATTAGAGATCTCAGACAAGATGGCTATAGAAAAGCAGATATTTTGTATGCAGCAAAGCAGCTTTACATTAAAAAAAAGTAAAGCTAAAATCAAGTTGTACACAAAATAGCATTTTAGGGTGAAAAGCATTTTTTTCAGTTAATTTTTTTTCAGTTTTCAATTATGTGTTATACAAAGGTTGTAGTATTGATTTACTGAACTTTATTCAGAAATGTTTTCTTATATTCTGCCAACATTTATTTTCGATGTGTACAATAAATATCGTTAGCTTCATAGCATAAGTGCCTAAGTCATTTTTTTGTGATGACATAGGCAGACGGACAGGATGATGCAGCAGTGGTAGGGGAGTAAAGTTAGGCAAAAATCTCAATTTGACCAAAAAATGACTTAGGCACTTATGCTATGAAGCTAACGATATGTAAGGGGGAAGAAAACAAGTTAAGGAACATCTGTAAATATAATTTAGTCCAGAAGTCCTTTAGCTATAGTCTAGCTTTTACATATTTGGGGTAATTTTGGGGTGGCTGTAGCTCAGGTGGTAGAGCAGAATGCCTACTAATGAGGAAGTTTGGTGGTCTGACCACTAATTTATACTGTATGTATTTTCTTTCATTCTTCATCTTGTACTCCTGATGCAGTACTCACATTGACCAACCTGCTTGTGGTTGTTGTAGAACTGCAGGAACCCAAGCAGGAGGCCCTGGACCTAGTAGTCTTGGTCAAGCGCTACCTCATCATAGGGATTGTGGTGGAAGTAGAACCCTCCATCACTGCCATCAACCATGAAGGGAGAAGCCACAAATAAACCTCAGAGACAAATTTAGGTTCATAGATATATGGATTATTTTGGATACATTTTGCTTCTATATTAGCACAGTGGATTTTTCTTCATACAGTGAAGTTAGGAGTAAAACGCAGTCTTTCAGGTTTAATTTAAGGGGTATAAGTATTGCATTAATTGTTGGATGTTTATTGAGTAGTATATATGTAAATAAAATCTTTAATCGTAAACCATCTCTACCATCAACTGTTAAAGGTGTTTCTGGGTCTTCATAGTTTACCCTCCAGATTTGCCCATACAGCTGAGAACCTGTAACACTGGATGTATGTTAGGTAAAACATTGATAACTCATCTTACGTATGCAGATGACCTGGTTGTTTTTAGTCGAAGTAGTGCTGGATTACAGCAGCTTCTTAATATCTGTACTGAATATGGTGTGCTATATGATATAAAGTACAATGCTATCTTGATATGTAGAACCAAGCAGGATAAACAGCTAAATTTCCCTGTGTTTAAACTGTCCGACGATACTCTTGAGGTTCATAAAAAGGTGAAATACCTCGATCACTTTATTATTGATCAAATAAATGATGATGACATATACAGACAATGCTGTAAGCTCTATGTGCAGGCAAATAGTATTGCACACAAATTCAGCTTCTGTTCAGTTCCAGTTAAAGTGGCTTTTTTTAAAAGCGTATCGCACACTGCTATATACTGCCCCCTTGTGGTCATCCAACAAGCAATATAGCGTGCAGAAACTGCATGTTGCATTTAATGATGCACTGAGAATCCTTGTAGGATACTTAGAAGGGGTAGTGCCAGTCAGACGTTTGTAGCTGTGCGTGTTTGGACTTTAAAAGCACTCTTAAAAAATTT